GTGGGGTCTATGGTGGGCTCCGCAGGGTCGCCGGGGGGCTGTCCAGAATCTGTGGTGGGCTCTGCAGCCTGCAGAACCCACCACAGATCCTGCAAAGCCCCCCTGACACCCCGCAGAGCCCATCACAGACCCCGCAGAGCCCACCATAGATCCCGCAGAGCCCACCACAGATCCTGCAGAGACTTTCAGGTGGGCTCTGCAGAATCTATGCTGGGCTCTGCAGGGTCCCGTTAACAGCAGTGGGATCCACTTACCCAGAGTCGGCTCTAGACTTTGCGAGGCCCCAGTCACAACTATAATGGAAAATTGATGGCTGTGGGTGGTTTGAGGAGGCTGTGACTCTCACAGAATTCATTTTTTTTTAGTTTATTTAACTATAATTTTTTTGCATTTTTACTTATTTAACTAACTTTTTTTGTTTGTATTTAACATTTTTTTTAACTTTATTTTTTAATTTTTTGCTGGGCGCAATAGCCCATTACAGCCTGTAAGGAGAAATCTCCGACAGTCTGTGAGTCTGCAGCAGAGAGATTTATCTGCGGCCAGGGGGGTAACATTTCTCCCACTAGGTCAGAAGCCACAAGCAAATCAGATATAGAATGTACATGAGAGAGAGAGAGAGAGTGTGCGTGCGTGTGTGCGTGCACCCTCTGCGATCAGTTGGCAAAATACTGGCTGAAGTCTTTACCATGGCCATGCAATACTTTTATGGCCCAAATCATCCAAACGAGCAGGATGCCTGAAAGAGCAAAAAAAAAAAAAAGGATACTGAGGACTGGATTCCCAAGAGCGAAGGGCAACACCAAGCTACAGCCTATGCAGCAGGTCTACTGATGAATCTACGGCTGTTTGGCACCATTAGTGGGAGCTGAGGGCACATAGTAGAGGGGGACTGTCTCCTCCATGTCTAAAATTAGACGTGTGGCAGTAAGGTACCCTATATGCTCAGGGAAAAAGACAAGGCCTCAGGCACTTCTGAAACCTGCACAGCTGGTAGCAGATGAGGGTCAGATGGCTGGAGGTGACCAAAGTCAAGAATTACCCGAAGGAAAGAATTACAGTATCAGGGAAATGCTTCCTTTGGTAACTGCAGCAAGTCAAATGGACATCATCCAGCCAGGATGAGACATGTTCTCTAACACAATTTATCTCTTTCCTCCCCAGCCCCATTTTCCCTGGTCTGTCCTCTTCATGTATTGGAGTTCAGGTCTTTCAATCATGGAGGCTCAGCATCACATATGCCCATTACTTAGGGCAGTTCTCCATATAAATACTGTAACTAGCAGCTTTGGAACAGGTGCAATGGCATTACCGATGCACCAGGCGGAGATCTGGACATATAGGCAGTGGCAGCCTACGCGGCCGCTATGGGGTCGGGGCCAGAGGTCCATTTATTGAAAAACAGTTGCCATTCAAAAATTTGAATGGCAACTGTTTTTCAATAAATGCACTTTCACTGATTACACAAAGATTATGGTGTGCTGGTGACATCCTTTGAAAACTACATGTATATCATGGCGCCATCCGTGGTCACTACACGCACCCACCTACATCTTGCAGGTCATCAATTCCGGTAAGGAGTGCAGCAAGACAACTTCTGTTATATGGGGCAGGGGGCCCGGTCCACAGCAGTAAGGAAGGCTCTGCAGAGGGTCGCCAAGTACCGGCCCGCAGGCCAATTCCAACCCGCAAACTTGTACCATCTGGCCTGCAGCTACACAGTCTGCATCTCTGTCAGATGCAGGCC